CAATGATTCTCTTAATGGTCACCCATCCCCAAATTCACTATAATAACTAGCATTTAAAAAGAAGTAAAGAGCACAAAAGAACTTACTTAAATAACATAAACATTTCTTTCTTCATTAGACTTAGGTAAATGGGAATCAGGGAAGAAAATGGTCAGGTCAGCAAACTTTTTGGATTGGAAGGCTAAGACAAAACTACTTTATGTCCTCTTTAAAATGTCATATTGGTACTTCACAGCTTTCTAAAAAATAATTTAAGGAATGATATGAGGTAGATTTATGGTCCAATATAAAAACATGATTTTAGACTTCTGTGCAGCATATTCTAGATGATTTGAATGGATTTGGGGGAATTAGTTATGTCTCGGGTATCACAAAATCATTATTATTCACCTGATAAATGATTGAATTTGGTGCACAAAATAGACTTAGGGATACCAATGAACATGTCCAAATGTGCACTGTAAATGTCAAACACATTACCTGCAATAATTTTGAACATTATCAATCTAAAAAAATTATATAACATGTGCTATTTCTCTTTCAGCTTATAAAAGCTCTAACTTCAAAATTAGATACATATTTTTAATTTTTCCTATAATCAAAATGTTAAATTTTATTTGATGAAGGAAATTGTTATTGTGTATCCTGCTTTTGCCTTGCATGTTAGACACAGTTTTGAACAAAAGAAACTTAATTAAATGTAGAGCCAGGTAAGATGAGCTATAGTATTTATGGAAAAAAGGTAACTTTTATTATTAATTTAATTTCATCAGGATATAATTTAAAATTAGGAGCAGCAACAGAAGTTAACTGATCAATGTTGGTGGCAAATTCCATGGTACTTTTTTTTCAGCTTAATTTTACAAATATTTATTGCTCTAAGTTTGATGCTATAGATACAACAATGAAAATATCTCCTGCTTTCATGGAGTTTAATCTAATATTTCAATTACAAATTGTGTACTATATATAGTAAATTAAACATATTAAAGAATAATGTGGTTTACAATTTACTTTAAATACAAAATGGTAATAATCTCTTGACTTACATTTATCTAGTAAGTAATATTTCAGACACAAACATACTAAGTGTTTACTGGAATTTTTCAGTAATGAAATGCTTTTTTCATAGAATACCATATTTAATACAGCTTATTATATTTATCCAGGCCATTTATTAAAAGACAGTACTTTTTTGTGGACTTGCTGGAAATATTTTTATATAATATAAAAAAAAGTCTTAGTAGTTTTATTCTACCAGTTGTTCTAATTGCCGAGAATTTAATTGTGTTCTTCTTAATTTCCTCTGATATATTATCTACAATGGAAATTAAATACAATGAAATGAGATGACCTTGAGCTTATTTGCTTACTTAAATTTTTTGAGTTTTTTCATTCTTCGAGATTATATGCATCTTTGAATCGCAATTAAATTTATGCCACATTTGCTTATCCTGCTCAGAAACTGGTTTTTTTGTTGTTGTTATGGTTTTAAAATTTAATTATTAATAATCATTTCATGATTATGGGAAGGAAACTCTTGCTGTAACATAGATGGTACCTTTCAATAAATCTTCAGAATACTTATGGAAAGCGCTTCTGTTGTTGCATTAACAAAGATAGATCAAAGTATAGACAGGCTTTTTGGGTATATTCTTAGATAAATATTTTATCAAGCTTTTCTCTTTTCCTGATTCTTGTTCCTTTTTCTAAAAAAAAATATAATCAAGTCCTTATAGTCAACCCAGGCAGAACATTAAGTATCCCTTTTGTCCAGTAAATAATCTGTGCCTTAACAACTTTCTTATAGATCAATACCTTTTCCTAGAATTTTCTTATTTCAGAAATAAATCTAACAATATTTCCCCACAAAAACATAGTAAATTAAATTAATATTTAAAAATCATATAAAGATATAAAATCAACATAAACTATACAAATCCATAAATGCAATTTTAAAATTATATTCTGACATAATTAGGTAATCAGAATGATCCAGTGTGGCTCAGTTGGTTGGGCATTGTCCTGCAAAATGAAAGGTCACCGGTTCGATTCCTGGTCAGGGCACATGCCTAGGTTATGGGCTTGGTCCCCACCTGGGACATGTTTGAGAGGTAACTGATTGATGTTTCTCTCTCACATGGATGTTTCTCTCTCTCTCCCTCTTCCTTCTTACTTCTCTCTAAAAAAATTAATAAATAAAATCTTTTTAAAAAGATCAAAAGAAAATTTAAGATATAGTACACATTAAAACTCTTCTATAAATGTCAATAAAATACACAATTTTTGATTGTGAGGTTTGACATTTGACAAAGGATAGGTTCTAAGCCAAACATAAATGAAAAAAAGTCTATTTTCAGGGAAAATGCACACATACATGAATAAACTATACATCATTAAATATAAAAATTTATAAATCCTCCCAACCAGAATTGCGAGCAGATGCTGGGTTTTGAATTTAGGATGACAAAAGTGTCCTGATTGTAGTCTTAATTTGAAATTTTAACATGTAAGATTATACTTGAGTTATTATTTCCTCCTTTTTAAATCCCTCTGAAGTATAAACCAATCTCTGGAACAGAGTATTTCTAAGAAACAAATGTAAACATGGGTAGCAGATTAATATTGTTGAAGAAAGGGATTTGATGAGATTATTGTTCAGTGTAATATGATCTGATTCTATTTGAATATGTCTAGATAAGAAGTTAGAGATGGATACTGTGTTCCTTCAGAATAAACTGTTTGAATTAAAATGTGACTCCTGAAAAATATAGACTCTTTCTACAATCTTTGAGCTATTACCTTTTCTCTTCAATTTTTTTTAAGTAGAACTTTTCAAATGTAGACTGAAAAATAACCTTTATTTCCTGGATAGCAGTTAAAATCTTCTTTCTTTGTTACCTAATGAAGAATTATTACTGTAGAAGAGGAGCATCACCTAATGTCTCATGAGAAAGCTATTAATGTGAGATTGTCACATTTCTTAGATAGAAACTTAATGCCAAACATTAATGTAGAAATTCATTTTCACAATCACTCTTACATCTTACATCTCCCTTCCTCTTTGATGAAGGTTGTATGGTTAGGTTATGAAAAATAATGAACTGAGTTTTAGAAGTAGAAAGACTATTGAATTTCTTCTGTTTCTTTATTTTCTCTCACTTGAGAAAATGGAGCCAATAGGCAGTGAGAGGATTAATTTTGGAAATATGAGTGATTTTAAATGTGGAGAGCCCTGTAATGTCAGAATAAATGTAGAGGGTTTTATACATGCAACACAGTAAGACACTTTAATGTGCCCACCAATCTCACTTCCACAAATAATCCTTTTCTTGCTGTCACATGCCCCTTTCATATTTTATCCCCCTTTTTGTTTTAGCTGAGTCATAAAAATTTAGCTGGGGACACTGCACAAGAGAGATGATTCTCTCAAGGTCACCATAGGAAACAGAATTACTTGCCTTCACAAATTTCATGTTCCTCTTCATTGCTAACACACATGCTTGTTTGGGTTTTGTTCCAGTAGCAATATGTCTACCTAAATACTTGCTTCCTCAGCCTCTATTGCAGTAACGATGGCTATGGGGTATTGTTTTGGCCAATGAAGTGTAGACTTCGTCCCTGAGGAGATCATGTCTTCCCAAATAGGTAGTTGGAGCTTTACGAGGAGAAGTCTCTTGCTTGCTCTTCTTTTTCACGTGCTTTGAATTTGGACTAACACCTTTGGACGTGGCAGCCATCTTGTGCCTGGAGAAAATAATGCCAACACAAAATACAAGTCACGGGTACTGCGGAGCAGCTAAATTAATATTCACCACAGCTTTCTACAGGTTTATTGTGTGTGGAAAGTTACCCTCTATCTATTTAAACTATTGTTTGGGTTTTTAGTAGTTTTAACTGAATGTTTTATAGCATGATATATGATTTCTCTTAAGTTGTGATTTTTATTAAACAAAAGAGGAAAATATGGTAGATTTTTGACCAGGAAGACATAAAGTATATTTCAAACCAATTTCTTCCAGTAATAACAATAATATTTTTCAGAGGAAGTAGTTATTATTTACTGGATAACTTAAAGCTGACTGAAAGAGAATGGATGTGTGTGATCAATTGTTCAGAGAGACAAGTTACCTAATCAAAGCAAGTGTTGTCAAATAGAGAAACAAGTAAAAATTGGCATTAGTGCATTTTATCCCATGGCCATGCCACTGTTCAAATGAACCATAAGGTTTTTATTCTATCTTGCATTGTGTTGTTCTTAAAGAATAATTGCCAGTTCTGTTGATTTCATTTGAGATCTTTTTTTTTTTTTTTTTTGATTGAAGCATTCTTTAATTTCTTCTTCCTTTTTGGTCTATTTACCTACTTATTCCAGTCATTATTACATTGACTAAAACAATTTTTCTTAAGGGAAATTTGACAGTTTGGACCAAAAGTCTTAAAATATTCAAGAAGTATTCATACTGTATGATTTTATAATATCATCTGTGGAAATTTATTTTATTTTAAAGAACTAATGTGAGGTAAAAAAGTTAAATGATTGACAATAGGGGGTTGTTTAAATTGGTACTATTTAATTTGTATTCTTGCATACTGTATTCTCATTATAAATAATGTAGACTTATATTTAATTACCATTAACTATTCAGCATTTAATATTATAGTTAGCAAGTTATGAAATATTATATGCAATATTACTTCAGTTTCAGAGGACAACACAAAAAGAGACTGATAGTGTCTATATTAAAATGTTAAGGATGTTTTCTCTCTGAGTGTTTGGGTTGAGTGATTGTTTTACTTTGCATTTTTTAATCTTTTCAAATTTATGCCATTTAATTTATATGACTCAGTAAAAGATATTTTAAAAGATATCCCAGCTATTAACCAAGTAACTCTAACTTAACATTGAAAATATTTTAACAAATCATTTTTATTGACAACCTTTTCATCAACAAAAGGTTTGACAACAAATCTCCCTTTGTTTGTTTGTTTTAATACAGAAATCCTAAATGGTGGAGTCTATGTAGACCAGAACAAATTTCTTTGTTACGCAGACACAATTCATTGGCAAGATATTGTTCGGAATCCGTGGCCTTCCAACTTGACTCTGGTGTCAACAAATGGTAGCTCAGGATGTGAGTAGTATTATCCTTTTTAATTTCTGAAAATGTTCTTCTAGTTCATGTGAAGATGAACAGCTTTTGTTTATCATGCCATTAACATTTTGAATTTTGATTGTATCTGCTGAAATGCTCAGTTTCATATGACAGAACAAACTTTTAGTTCTAATTAACTCTCTTTTTGGAGTGATATTTCCCTTGACAAATTCTTATTTTCTTAACATGATCCGTTTCAATAACACTAAATTATGTTACCATATTTTCAATGTCTAAATATATATGCCATTGCCTATAAACTTAAGGCTCTTGTCAAACTCCTGCTTCAACTTTTTGGGACCCATGCACCACTGACAAAAAGGCAAACCAACAATGTGCCTTCCTATGTATTTTAACATTTTCAAAATTAAAAAAAAAAAAATATGGAACATATTAGAACCCAAGCCTTCATTTGCCTCTAAAACCTTCATGACAATTCCAAACACTATAACTAGAATAGAGAAACATGAGTTTTGTATAGAAGAAATACGTTATGTTCTGGTTTTAGTCAGCTTAATAAACAACCTAATTTCCCATTCTTAAAATGCATTGTTTCTACCACAGATAATTTACCACATTCAAAGTTTTTAATGTGATTCAACAATGAGCAAGTAATATTCGAATCTTTAAAGCCTTTGAAAATTATTCTGCCAGAAATACGTGCCATTTTCATAAAGCAGACTGTGTTGTCCCCACATTTATTATTACTGAGGTTTGTATGAGAACAGAGCTTTTATCAAGTGTAACCTGGGTTTTATATTTCTCATCTACTATTATGTATTTCCCACCTGAAATCAAAACTATCTTCACACAGTTCAATAATTATTTGAAATTGTACTGATTATATTATGTTGCTTTATAGGAAATCAAACTCCAAGGGACAATTATTAAGTTTCATCATGATCCTAAGAATTTAATGGGGAATTATGAATATATTTGATTGAACCTGACAGCTGTGTTTTCAATAAACTGAAATTTTTTTTAAAGTAGAATAACATAATTTTCCTGTCACCTTTGAGCAGAAATTTGTATGTGATTTCATCTTTACAGGGTTCAAGTTGCCTACCTTGTAAAATTATATGTGAATAAAGGATTGAATCTATTCACATTAACAAGGCAAATCATGTGCTTCAGAAATGGCTTCCATTTTCAGTCTGCTTAGACTATGGTACATTATGTGTAGAAAATGCATAATGGTTTGATAAGAGGAAAAGCCCACTGACTGCTTGTTAGAGCGACTAGCCTGTAATGTGTGAATGATATCAGGCAAGAATAGAGCTCACAGTAGAAGGGCAAATGAAGTGTGTCCATGAGGCTTGCAGGAAGGAAAAAAAAAAGGTCTGAGGGGTTTGCTGCACTTTCACAGATGGTATCTCTTTGTGCTATTCTTTTCAGGGCAAATTTGGATGGTTGTGCCTATAATTAGGCAACTAGAGCTGCATTTCTTTTTCCTGCAAATAATTGCAGGCACATGAATTGTAAATGCAAAGTAGAGTCATAATGAATGGTCCTTTACAAATTAACCACCAATTGCTTATCTAAGTTTTGTTCTTTACATACTAGTTCTATTTGCTGACTCATTATTCATAGTTGGCAATAATGAATTGGCTGGTCTGAATAGTGACTACCTATGATTTTACACTCAGTCAGATTCGTCCTTTACTTTCTCCCCCCTGGTAATCACAGACACACTCACGGTTTTAAATGGAACTTCTACACCGATGACTTCCAAAGCTACACACCACCAGCCACTCAGTCAAACTAAGTTAAAAATCAGGTGGTTGTCATTGACTTCGCCTTTCTCTTGGTCTTGGCATTTATTTAATCATTAAATCAGGCTGAATTTGCTTATTTCTTCATTTTCCATAGTTGTTATTTACATAGTTCTAGTTCAAGACTTCATCTGTTGCCTAAGTTACTGAAAAAATATCTGAATTCTTAATATTTTTTGAGGCAATGGTTGTTTGTGGTAGTCTAGTGAACCCATAGTACCCTTCTCATAATATTTTTAAATGAATAAATTGTCACAAAAATAAATATTTTACATTATAAATTCATAAAACTTAATAAATACATAAGAGATATTACAAAGAATTACAAGAAAAATAGTTTACATTAAAATACATTTATAATCATACTTAAAAAGTAAATATATAATATGGTAATATGCTTCTTTAGTAGTACATTAAAATAAAATATCTAGTAATAGAATTAATATGTAAGGGAGTTTTGAAAAAATAACTAATATTATTTTTAAAAAGTCAGTCACCTTAACAAATGGTTTTGGGAAAACTGGATAGCCACAGGATTCAGGTTAGACATTTATCTTGCATTATATTAAAAAAAATTAAAAATGGATTAAATACCTAAAATGTAAGACCCCAAAACTATAAAACTCCCAGGAGAAAAAAAAAGAGGAATAGTTTCATGATACTGAATTTGGTAAAGATTCTTGGATATGACACTAAAAACACAGACAACATAAGCAAAAAATCAAAAAATGGGTCTATATCCCACTTAAAACATATGTGCATTAAGTGACACAATCAAAGGGTAAAACAGCAACTTATAGAATGGGAGAAAAATTTATAAAATTTATATCTAATAAGGGGTTAATATACAGAATATGTAAAGAACTCCTATGACTCAACAGCAACAAAAAATAAACAACTTGATTCAGAAATTGGCAAAGGACTTGAATAGACATTTTTCCAAAGATGATATAAAATAGCCAATAAGCATATACAGACGGTCAACATCACTATTATTAGAGAAATGCAAATGAAACATCCATTAAATATTACCATGAAGTATCACCTCACACCAGCTAGAATGATTACTATCAAAATAAAAGATCAAGTGTTGGTGAAGATGTCAAGAAATTGACACCCCTGTGCAGTTGTGATGAAATTGTAAAGCAGTGCAATTTCTGTGGAAAACGGTAGGGTGGTTTCTCAAAAATTAGAAATAGAACTACTGTATCATCAGCAATTCAACTTATTATTATATATCCAAAAAATGGAAGTGGGGCCTCAAAGAAATATTTGCACACCTAAGTTCATGATGGCCTTATTCACAAAGCTAAGAGGTGGAAGCTCCCCAAATATTCATCAATGAATAACTGGATAAAAGAATGGGGTGTATACAAACAATGGAACATTATTCAGCCTCACAAAGGAAGGAAATTACAAAACTTGATCTCATAGAGACACGGAAAGGGAGAAACCCAAACCTCAGGTGTTCTAGGTCCTACAGTCTTTTCTTTAACTTATACCAGATGCACCACTAATTCTCAATTGCTTTCTTAAAAAAAAGAAAGAAAGAAAGAAATATCTACTGATAGAAGTGGGAATGTGTGGGAACTGGCAAATCCATAAAAAAAGGATTATGTTCCCAAACATAATTTCAGGAGTAATTATTTGTTATAACCAGATGTTCTGTCTGAGTTAAATATATTAGCAAAACTTAAAATGATATTTTCATTTAATGACTCATATATCTTAATAATTGCCCACTCCTTACTAATATTGCATGTTGTGTCCCATATAGATAACTTTCTTAAACTAGAAAATAATTATCTCAAAATAGAGTAGTGTTAAACTTGACTTTTTTTTTATTTTACCAACATTTTTACTCGTTCAATTTTAATATATTTGCATAGAATAGAAGCACACTTCTAAATCTGAACTTTCCTAGAAGAATAAAAAGAGTAGCAGGAAAATATATGCATAATGCATTTCAGTACACTTTCATTTTCTGTGTGTTACATCCAATTTTACATAAATGTAAATATAGAGTCAAGTCATGCATACTTGTTTTTAAAAAAAGATTTTTAACTAAAAGCTGAAATTAAGGAAATAGAAAAATGTAAAAATATTGCAGGGATAAATGAATCTCTATGAATTCAAAAGACGGCTTCTTGAAAAGACCTGTCAAGTAGAAAGATTCTTCACGAACATCAATAATAAAATAAAACCAAAAGAACTAAAGATCTCTTAGGACTTCAGTTGCAATTATTCTAAATAAAATATTAGCAACTAGAACTAATAGAATCTAGGAATGTATTTCAAAACATAAGATCAAATATCAGGTCTGCTGTCGTTTTAGTGTTTTTAATGAGAGAGTGCGAACTCGAAACTGACCTGTATCAAGAGGGTCTGTGAGACTAGATTCATAAGAAGAAAATTTTCACAGAATTCATTTATATATAATAAATGCATATGTAAACATGTTTATATAAATGTGTATACACATAGTTACATATACTCATGTTAGCCTCAACCATTTGTTATTATGTTAGTTTCCATTTCTCTTTTGCATATAAATCTCCTAAAATCTGGATTGAATTCTGTAGTCTCTCTCTCCCCTTTGACCTTATCTTCTTACCGCTGACTCAGCCTCTGCAGACAATGATTCCTGCAACCTCACAGCTGTGCTGGACACACCCTCAACTGCTTTAACACTCACCCACTGTACCCCAATTCCTTCAAAGCACAAATGAGTCAGTCTGGTTGAGGATGAGAATCTACCTATTGTCAAATTTTCCAGTTGGTTCTGGGGACAGGTGTAAGTAGCATTGGCCTGGTGCTGGGTCGCTATGCTAGTAAAATGGTTAGCAAAGCCTATTATGATGAATGTATTTCAGGCCATATGCTGATTGAAAATGGCACAGAATGTATGAGCTTGCTGCAAATGAGCCAAATACTAAGCAAATGAGTCCTCTCCTAGAGAACATGTAGCTCTCTTCTTCTATGTGGAAATTCTGTTACTAATTCCAACAACAATAATGCTTTAAGTGCCTGTGACCTTTGGGGCCTGGTGCATCCCAGGCACTTTAAAAACTTATTTTAAATTCTTACAGAATTTCTGTAAAGTAGGTATTAAGAGCCCCATTTGGGGTCACTGAGAGCCTTGGCAACTTGCAATTTTTAGAAAAAAGACTTGCCGTCTTCCAGTGAATGGTTGAAAAGGTCAAAATT